ACCATCGCAAACAGCCCTTGTGATCTATTGTACTTTGTGTTTTGAGTTGTTCCACAAAAACAGTCTTTCAACTGCTATATTGAACATAAAACAAATCAGCAAATGTGATAATAAAGATGCATTTAGAAAACCCATGGCAGCGTCACGGAACGGAAGTTTTTTTATTCAAGACATTTGACAAAATGACAGTATATCAACAGAAACATAGACTTTGTGATGTGGTATAAGGTAATTTGGCTAGTTCTTCTAGCGTTTTTAAAACATGTTAATCGCTGATGAGAACATCAAAAATAACTATTAACACCTCCTTTGTATTTAAGTGGTGCTCTGTGTAAATTCAGGCAAAGTTGACGAGGCTACAGCACACCGTGGTGGAGAAGAAGGCAGGATTCTCACCGTCCTCATTCACGGTTTCATTCAGGTAATCTAAAGACAGAACAGTTAAAGAAGAAAAATGTTATCTGTACTTTACTGGGATAACAACCACTTGTAACTATATGGCATGTACGATATTTTAGAGTGTCGCATTAAGGTCACCTGTTTCAAAGATAACATGATCCACCAGTGGTCTGTCACTGAGCTGAACGGATGTCCTGACCTCACGAGAACCGTGGCCACTGGACACCTCAGCCCCCCACAGGACTGGCTGCTCTCTGTGGAGCACACAAACACGAGGGATGAGACAATAGCCCGTGTTAAACCTTCACAGTTGGCACTTAGGTGATCAAAAAATACACAGGATACAATGGGTTTCAATCACAGGCAGACACGCATGACCACATAAGGAGAACTGTGTGGAAGCAAGTGTGTTTCTCAAAATAATAAAGGCCAGTTTTTAAATTCATCAGATCATACCCGACGCAAAGTGCAAATGGCTCGCACTACCTTTCTCCTACTTTCTGTTTCACTTTGTCGACACTTTTGTGGGTGAAACAAATGACTATTTTGTGTTAAAACATGAATGTAAAGACAAACATCTCAATTTAGTTTACCATTTTCTTCGGATGTAATGACGCAGTAAGTGTGCAAAGGGTTGTATTCCTTACTTCTGGTAGAAATGGCTGATCAGTGTGGGTTTGATTTGCAGTTTGAATTCATGCTCCTCATCATATGGGTGTGTTTTGTAGTGCTGCAAACATGACCTAAGGGGAAAGAAAAAGTGTATACTTTAATGTCATCTTTGGGAAAGAACATTTTGCATCCTTATACATTATTGGCAAAAAAGGCAAATTAATTTACTGTGTGAGAAGGAAGAGCCGGTCGTAGGGCAAACTCAGGAAAGTAGTGCAGGTCACTATTATCTCCAGTAGATGGTGCAGTTTCCTGAGTCGGATCACTTGCTCCTGCAGATCAACCTCTGTGCTCAGGTAATAACACTATGGAGTCAAATATTTAAACTTAGAATATTTTGTTAACCGTCATCACAAAATAGTTGTCAGTAAAACCGTCTTACCAAGTGGTTAAGAGTTGTCAGTTCTTCACCTGAGGGGAAAAACGAAGAACAAATAGTTTCAACACCACTATAAAACTTTGAAACACATATAAAGGACAGAGTTATACGGAGCTTCAGAGTGATGTTTAAGAGGATACCGATGAGGTAGTTGATGTAGTCCTTTCTCATCTTGTCCAGACCCATCTCCAGCAGCATGTGGACAGGGGTGACACCCGTGAGAGACACATGGTCAATCTGCTGGTGGTAAGACTGCAGGATGAGCTTGCTGAGGGAGCTGCTGCTGTCTCTGTGAATCTAGAGGAAATGACACAAAACCAAATGTTTTTACACAAAACATCCCTCAATCTTTTCTCAGCAATAAACAGTTTAAAAGAGCTGCCTCATTTCATACCCAAGGTTTGATGTCACCGTATCTTAGAGCTTCCGTGACCAATTTCAGGCAGTCTCCAATGTCTTGATATGAAGTCACACCTGTAATGAAAAACAAACAAATGGAGGAAAATGGTTGTCACTGTCTGTTTGTAATGCTAAATCAAGTGAATCCTAGTTTCCTTAATCGAGGAGCTGACTCACTCTTTCTCAAGCGAACCCACAGCTGCTCCACAAAATCCAAATCGCCTCGTTCCAAGAAAGACTTGAAAATGTCGGTGGTCTCAGTTTTAGGCTTTGTGGTCTTTAAGAAAAGATGAAGAAGCAAGAAAGCTACCACATTTATTCTGAAATGAATGAATCTGTGAAAAGTCCTTTTCTTCTATCATACCTCAGCTTTTTTGGCAGCCTGGTCCTGTAGTGTATTTGCAGTGTCCTGAAGCTCTGAAAGACAAATGAAAAAAGCGAAATAATATTCTTAACTAACTGTTAGCATTAAATCGTAAGAAATGTGCATTGATTTAAAAAGAAGCAGATACCTTCTAGGAAGGCTTTGGTCAGATTTACAGCTGACAGGCTTTCCAAAGGCTCCACCCATTCAGTCTCACCAGTTCTCAAACCATCAGCAAGAGTCTGAAAGAACAGGAATCGGAGATATTTCGATGCCTATTTGTGTGATGTTGCCCACGGTCATTCATGTCAGATCACTGTGGGCCACCAACCTGAAGAAACTCTAGCTCCCTGTACATCTCATTCATCGGGCTCTTCATGTCCCCGCTGGCAACTTTGATATTCTGCACATGAACAAAAATAATCAAGCCAAGTACACAAAATGCACCAATTTATTCTGTATTTTAAATGGTATTACAAAATGATATATACAAAGTAAGTATTTATGGTCGAGAAAGAGTATCTTTAGAATGTGAATGACTGGTTCTTACCAGTGTTGCTGTAGAGGACAGGGGTGGGGTCTCAAGGATACTCTCCACATGGCTCCATTTGAAATCCACCGTCACACTACTCTGTGACTCAATGATGGTGTTTTCAACAACAGTGGAGCCAAACAAGTTGAACCTGGCACTGCCTTTGATTGCCATCTGGAAGCATTGACGGATGTAAGTGAGTGAACATTCATCCACACCGACTTACAAGGAAGGATGCACACTCACCGAGGACGAGTGGTGCCTCTTCTTGTGCTCTTGTTTAAGCTCGTCTAAGGTTATGAGGGATCCTTTGTCCACAGTTGAGCCTAACATAATTTAAGTTGGAATAAAGTAAATGGCAGAAACCTCAAAATCACACAGGAGATAAATACAAAAAAATATTCACTATACTGATAATGTTTCAATAATGTTTCAGGCTATACCTTTGCAGGTAACAGAGTATAATTTGACACCAGACACTCGATTGCCCATGCAGACCGTTTCAGCTCCAAACCAGGTTGTTCCAGCTGGATCAGACATGTCACATCGCACCCATAGAGGGTGTAAGGCGGGGCTGTTGTCCACAGATGATATATTAGCATTTTGAGATAATGTGTACCAAGACAGCAACTGCCTGTAAAAATAAAAAGGAAAGGAAAAAAAGTATTTTGATTATCATCAGTGTATTACTTACTCTGCTTATGCAATCCTACTCTGTGCACTTTCGTCATTTGGATGAAGAGTTAAACTTCTTAGTTGGTCACCTTGCTTTCATGATCGTGAGCGGCTGTGGTCCCAATTCTGTCAGGAGAGCAATGGCATCAGCATTATCAGCATTATCATCGTTGTCAGCGCAGTTTGATGTCTCAGTCATTGGTTGATCATCAGGTTCATATATTTTTGGAACCTTGAGAAACCAAGAAATAAAAACAAAGTTAGTTAGTGAGGTGTTTTAATAAAATGTTATGATAAAAAGGATACCTGTGGGTATCTTGAGTTATATCCTTTGCTTTTACAATGATCTATGTTTGTAATAAACTATTATTTTACCAACATCAACATGTCAAAAAAATCCTAGGGTAACTGGTACATACACCAAGAAATCATAGACTTCTGAAATGCAAGACAATGTCCATGTGTTTATTAAGTTATCATGTTACACAGTAATACGTGTGTAGGGCTTACAGACACCCTGAATATATTCAGGGAGTCACAGCATTAACTTTACTCACAGCTTTTTCACAGATGAAGACTGGCTGGTTGCCACAGTACATATTCAGCACAGGGACTCTGTCTCCATTCATCTGTAACATTTGGATGTCCTCCTAAAACCAATCAGATACAGAAACACCATTATTCATTACGGTGTAACATAAATACATATGCATACATACACCATATTACGACGGATTTTACTTAAGATAAAATCTAATTACCTCATATGTACATGAGTCGTTGCCTTCCTCATCTTGAAGAGACCTTCGATCAACACATAACACACACATAAATAAACCGTACCTCGGCAAGATAAGTCGAATAACTAACACGTAAAGTTAAGCTAAAGGCTGACGACTCGTCCACTGTATAGCGTCCATTTGACTTTATCTAAAAAGCTAAACAATTGGTAACGTTCGCGAGGTTAAGCATCCACAAGTAAACTCACCGAAGAACATTATAAAACTCCTTCGCACTAGATATCACCGTTGAGCACATCACACAATCACACAACAGACCGCCTGTTAAAGAGCGATTCACGTGGATAAAATACAAAAGAAGTTAAGAGAGGTAAACGGGCTCCTACTGTTGATGTTTTGACTGTCGCGCGCTCACTCGGGCGATGGCGTCATGGGGTCACAGGTCATCATTTTTTTCAGTTATACGTTTTTATATCAGAAAATAATGATTTAAGTCAGAAAAGTGTTTATATGATCTCAAAATACGTGAAATGTAAAATGTTTTGTTTTAAATAAAATTATGTTTTATAAAATAAAGTGTTTCTTAGAAAATAGTTCCGCCTTTACGTTCATACTGCGCCAACATGGCGTAAAGAAATAGTCCCATTTGAAGCAACTCACTTTAATACGGTTTTGTTGAGAGCATTTGATTGACAATGCGAACACAATTGTTTGATTCAATCATATACATTTTGTAATATACATTTTGCCGTGGTAAGCACAACAATAGTGAAAAACATCAGTCGGCGGAAGTGATATTCGTCGAGGCGGAGGCTTAAAGCATTCAGGGTAACGTACCAACTTCCTTTTTCACTGTGGCCGCTAAACCGTGAGCAGTGTGGTTCCCGGCGAGCCGAAAAATAATTACCGAAAATGGTGAGAGAATACACTCAGATCGTTATTAAGACGCTATATAATACGTAGGCTGTGTCTCGTGATTTGTACGTATCAAATAAACCTTGGTTCGTTGTCTGTGCGAAGCTTGAATTTAGATTTATTAGAGCAGTGAGGTGGAATGCTCCCGGCTAACGAAGCTAACACGAGGAGCCATTTTGGATATGTAGCGTTAGCTCATTAATTCAACCCAGTTACACGTGTGGCTGTCGCCAGTGTTGGATCAGGAACACGTAGCTTAGCATATGTGGCAAATTCACAGGGCATCTCATGTTACATTTTCTTGTCCTAAATGTCACTTGTGGTTTTTAAGTGTAGTTGTGCTCTTTAACAGCGCTCACACCGTCTGTGATAAGACAACGCAACGTTTTAGACTAGCTTGCTAAAGTCAGTCACGTTAGCATAAACGAGCTAAGCTAGGAGCAGCAGATTTCTCCGACACTGTAAATACGTAATGTTAATAAGCAGTCCCCGTTGATATTGTCAGTCAAATACGGGGTGCACCTAACTTGATGTACACGCTGCACCGAGTTGTATCAAACTGTTTTTTAAGTTGGTTTACAGTTTGTCGGCCTAGACACACCAGCAGGTCCGATTGCTTGTTCTAAGCACACATTGTTTTAAATGATTGATATTCTCCCGACTAAAGCCACTGCATCTAATGGTATTCATTACCTTCTCTAATCCAACTTATATATTTACCTCTATTTTAAATGTTGCTTTTGTTTCCTAGGCCTGTGCCCGACCGCTGATCTCGGTTTACACCGAGAAAGGAGAAGCTGCTGGCAAGAATGTCGTCTTGCCTGCAGTGTTCAAGGCTCCAATTCGCCCTGATGTTGTGAATTTTGTGCACACCAACATGCGCAAGAACAGTCGCCAGCCTTATGCAGTCAGTGAACTGGCAGGTGAGTGTATCCGTCCTCATTGAACTGGCCTGTTGACCATGACTGACCATCATAGTTAATACAAGATTTTTAGATAGCGACTGAGCTCGTCCATTCACAAATCTGACGTATTTTGTTTGTAATTTAGGTGTATGTTTCTCTTCTTACAGGCCACCAGACCAGTGCAGAGTCTTGGGGTACAGGAAGAGCTGTCGCCCGTATCCCCCGTGTGAGAGGTGGTGGTACTCACCGCTCTGGCCAGGGTGCTTTTGGAAATGTATCCTTGTGACCAAAATTTCAGCTTTACGTCTTAATATTGTGAAAACTAGGACAGGCACAAGACT